GTGGGTCTGCAGTGGGGAAATGAGGGGAGTGGTGAGGGGCCGACACCCAGCTATTGACCAAGGAGTTCATGTAGGACCATGTTAACCTTGATGGACACCTCAGTTAATACCCCAAAACTAGTGTTCTTTACTTCATGACACTAAAGCATTAGTCTTCCAGTGTTTTCAGCCGGGGTTGCTGCTGGTACTAAAGGCTCCCAGCATCAGGCTCCTGTCAGGACCTGGGCAGTTGCACCAGCAAAAGGAGCAAATCACAGCTCTCAGGGCTGGGTCAGTGCCCAGGTGGCCTTTGGAGAGGGGTCAGTAGCCAGGCTGAGGGCAGGGCTGCTCTGTGCTGCCCTGCTGAGCCAGCCTGGGTGGTCACACCCACATGTGCAGGATCCTGCCCACGCTCTCGACTGCTGGCTCCCCGCAGCATGGCTATATATAAAATGGGAAAGGGTTTTTTTTCCACCTCTATTTTTAGTTTTTCTCATGTCCTAGCAAATACACAAGCAGAAAGAGTGGGTTATGAGAGGACATCAGCTCTGAAGCAGAGCCAGGTGCTGGGCACTATATGAAAGGCTCCAGGAGAACCCAACCGCCTGTCCCTGTTGATGGTCACATCTTCAGTGTGAGATTGGACTTTTCCAGTACCTCTCCCTCAAGGCTCATCTTGGTTCCACAAAGGCATTCAGCATTTACAAGGATCTGGTCCTAATTAGCAAGAAGGATGACTCTGAACTCCTCAGGCTTCAGGACTGATCTCACCTGTGTTACAGCTCAACAATGTGTTTCATTCCCAGGAGATCCCAAATTAATGTACAGGAGCTCAGCCTGGGTTTTCTCACATCAGAAGAAAGAGAGATCAAATTTTATGACCTCTAAGTCAGAAGGAAGCTCTCCTTTCATGATGCATTAGGAGAAATCAAGCTCTAGATGTGTCAGACTTCTACAGTGCTCCAGAAATGCAAAAAACCATCAAAAGCCTCACTCTCCTTCCCTACCAGGATGGGCAGCAGGGTAGCTGGAGCTCTTGGTGGTGTTTTGAGGTGGGACTGGGGGGAATTAACAACTTTTAGTGAAAATGGAAAATGAGCCTTTCTGTCTGTTCACAGGAGGGAAATATTTTACTGCAGCAACAGAGTTTGTGCGTTACCTGAGAAAAGTTTTGTTCAGACAGAATTTTGGTTTTGTTTCACTTTACCTCAAGTAAAGAGAAAAGTAAAGATTCCCTGCTATGGAAATCCACGTCAACCTCCTTGAGGCATCAGGATGCTCAGAGACCAGAGAGGATTCTGACCCTCAGCAAAGGGCAAAGCCCTGCTCAGTCCTGTGTGGGCTCATGTCATTGTCTGCCACCTTGATACGTGATGGGGGATGCCCAAAGCCAACAGATGGGAGAAACAAACATGACAGAGAAATCCTTCCAGTCCCATTATGGCTTATTCTGGAGCGAGCTGCTGTGTCTGTTGGTCATAAAAGCATCGGTGGGCGTCTCTGCCAGGAGAGTGCTTGAACCCAGTGATTTATCTCTTTTGTTCCCCCCTTCCAATGCTCATTAAAATAGGAATTTGCCGGTGCTGCTGCTGCATCCAGCTGAATGCCTGTGCTTCTTGGCTCCCAGCGAGGTCCTCGCTGTAGATACCGTGTGCTTTGGCAGCTGGGCCAGTCTGGGCTGCAGGATATTACGCCTGGCGGGGACACAAACCCCTTCCAGTTCCTGGAATTTGGATTGTCTCGCAGAGTGCTGATTAAGCAGTGCTTTCAATCTGCACCCAAGACAAAACCCTCGCCTTGCCTCTGCACAGAGGCTCAGCTGCTGCGTGGCACTGGGACCTGCAGAGGGTTCGTTCTCTCCGAGCTCCAGGGACACAAAAAACTCCCCCAAAAATCCCAGATGAAAAGCTTTGCAGTTCCCAGGGCTGGATGAGTATTTGCTGCTCAGGGCTCTGTCTTTTGTGAAATAATAAATCACCAAAAAACCACTCCCTCCACAACACAGCCCCAGTGCCCTCCCCACCTTGGCATGCACTTGGTGGCAGCTGCACCTCCCAGTTAAGACATTCACTGCTGCATGTCCCCATCTGCCTTTTTAATCTGCTGGGAATGAAACTGCCTTTACCAGCCTCACTAATGAGAGATTTGATAGCTGGGGCTGAGCAGAGGGAGGCAGCCTCAATGTGGGCCACCCTGTGCAGCACGAAGGGCTGTCCTGGCCCCTGGAGCTGGCACTCCTGCCTGCAGTCAGGAACATGAAATAGGGGTGTCAGCAGGACTGGCAAACTGGACATGGCACTCTGCCCAGCACCTGCAGAGGTGTCTGGCCTGGTGCTGGAAGGTGAAGCTGAGCTGATTAGACCCCTATAACAGGCAGCCTGGATAGTCAGAGGGCTCTGAGAGCCACCTTGACACCCTGACATGCCCAATGCCAGCATCCACAGCACAGCACAGCCCCCCACAGCATGTCCAGCCCAGCTGGGTCACGGGGTGCTGCTGCTCTCTGCGCTGAGGGATCTCCTCCTGCAGTGCTGCAGTGGGGCCAGAGATGCCTCAGCAGGGCTTTGTCCCCTTGCTGGCACAACTATCATCTCACCAGCTGGGTGGGGAGTGGATGGAAATATCCCCCCAGCACATGTCTCAGTGTGGGCCCCAGGGCCTGCAGCATTTTGAGTTGCTTTATGTGAGAGAGGATGCCAGGAAAAATATACAGAGGGGGCTCTTTCAGCAGAGGCTCCCAGCAGGGTGAGGCTGTATTGATACAGCACATCAGCTCAGCACCTGGGCTTTATTCCTGCTCCATGCTCAGGTCTGCTCCTCCCTGACCTCCTAATCAGCTTCTGTTGCACAGCAGGTCTCTGGGGTGGCTGGGTGCAGCTGGATGGACTCTGGGATGGGTTGTCAGTCACTGCATAGGCAGGAGTTGTGCGTCTGGGATCCTCAATTCTTGTTCGAGTCAAACCTGTGAGGATGACAAGCAGTGATGGGCTGCTGCTGTGGGACTGCTCTCCCCTCCCTGCACTGTCCCAGCAGTGTCACCCTCCTTGTCACCCTGCTTGAGCACCAGCTTTTCTCTGGGCATGCTCTGGTCTCAGCTCCATGCCTCCATCTCCATGCCTCCCGCCAGCTCAGGAGAGGGACTTCAGCCTTGGTGCTCCCCTTCATTCAACTGAAGAGCCAAATCCTGGCTCTAAACTGGCCTGTGCCCTGGTGAAACCAGGCCTAGTGAAGTGCAGGGTGAGCACCTTGCTGACCTGAGGCACTGTGGCCCAGGGGGATGATGGCAGCAAGCCCTGCTGCAGCTCACACATGGCCGCCCGTGCTGGCTCTGAGCACAGTGGGAGGAAGATGTGATGGGCATTGCAAGCAGCCCCTGCAGCCAAACAGGCATCTCTGTGACCTGCATTAACTCAGTTGGCCCCTGGCATTGTGACTGTGTGGGATGTTGTAGGGAAACACACTTGATGCCGGAGCACAGTCCATGGCTTTCAGACTGCTGTCCCCCCCTCCCTGGGGACAGACACCCGGACACAGTGCAGGGAGCACAGCCCACTGAGGCTCTTTTCCCCTGAGAGGCCCCTGGCTGGGCACTGCCAGCCCAGGTCAGTGGTGGGGCCATGGGGAGATCCCCCGTGGGCTATGACATGCCCTAGTCCTTGGGGAAGAAGCAGGTGGCAGCTCCCAAGCCAGCAAGTGGCTTCATCTCTTAACAGAGATCTGCTGGCCCAGGGACACATATGGTCACCAAGTCCTCTCCCAGCCATCCCCAGAAAGAGACATCTCTGCCATCTGCTCAGCCAGTACCAAACTGGGGTGACCCCGGGGCTCCCGGTGAATGCCAGCCCCGCCACTGCCCTGCCGGGGCAAAACCCCGCCCGCATCCCTCGCCGACCTGGAGCCGCTTCCCTACCCACGGCTGCCAGCAAGACCCCAGCCTGGGGGGATGAACAGGGCAGACATGACCCTGGAAATCTCTCCCTTGTAAGCGGATTGAACAAAACCCCAGCCAAGAGCGAGGAGCAGCCCCCGTGCCCGCTGGAGCGGCGAGCCGGGCTCTGCCCGCTCCCCCCGGCCCCGTGCGGGGCTCCGTGTGCGCCGAGCCATCCACCAGCCTATAAATCTCCTGGCACGGCTCTTTCCAAACTTCAGGACGTTCCCCGGGGGAAGAGTTAAGATGCAGCCTGTGCGTCAGCGGCCGCAGCGGGCTGCCCGCCGGGGCTGAGCCGAACCTCCCGCATCTGCCCCGGCAGGTTGTTCGTGCGGGTCAATCCCAGCGCTCCGCTGCTCCTGGCTCAGTCCTCACGGTACGTAGTCGGGGGAACATCCTCCCCGCTGCTCCAGGAAAGGCTGGCAGGGATGCTCGGAGGTGCATCGGCTGACGGATGAGGGCATATTCCAGCGTTTTCCTCTTTTTTTTTTTTTCCTAATTTTTCTGCTTTTGCCGTGGTTATTTTTCTTTTCCCGAGATAAAAGAGTCGTTAGGATTTCTCGACGACGGTTTTAAATCTTGCCGTGCGTTTCTTTTATCTGTGTGAGATTTCTGTTTGTGCCGGGGATTTATTCAACACACCAAATTCCTGGGAAGTTACAGGGCAGGCGGTTGCAGCGAATCTCTCAGCATGCTCCTAATTAGCCCCTGCCCCGCAGGTACGTGCCATAAGTGAAAAAACGGGGGAGATTTTTTACTGATTTTACTTTTTTTTTTTTTTAAAGAAACAACAAGAAAACCAATCCCCCAGACATATCCCTGACAGTCACGGGGAAACTGCTGTGATAAATAAGGTTATTAAAGAGATTAATTTAAAACACTTATTTTGAAAAGTCCAAAAAAAAAAAAGGAAAAGAAGCAAATTAATTTCCGTCTTATTTTGGGAAGTGGTGTTTGCAATCCTGAGCGGTGCCTGTGTCGTTTTCTCTCCTAGATCCACCCGCCTGCAGCAGGGACCAGCGATCCCCCTCGTCCTTGCTGAACTCCGTGCGGGAGCAGAAAGGCGCTGACGGGTCCCGGCGGGCGGGCTGGCATGGCCGTGCTGCACTGGCACCTGTACCTCAGCGCCCTGGGCTGCTGGGTGACACAGCTCTCCAGCTCCTTCCTGCTGCCCAATGCCACTGAGCTGCTGTCCCCGCCCGGGGGCACGGCCGCGGGGCTGCTGTGGGGCGCGGGGGTCCCCCGGAGCCGTCGGAAGCGATACCTCTCCCCCCACGACATGAGCGTGATTTTGGATTACCACAACCAAGTGCGGGCTCAGGTGTCCCCCCCTGCTGCCAACATGGAGTTCATGGTGAGTCAGGCTCCAGACGGGCAGTTTGGGGTCGAGGGGCTCGCTTTTGGGAGCCCAAACTAGTAGGGATGGGGCATCCACCCCACGGGGATGTTGGGATGCTGAACACCTGTCCCGGGGGATGTTTCATGTCCCCATGCAGCCTCTGTGCAGGAGGAGTGGAGTTCCAGCAGGGAGATGTTTCCACATGAGGGCAGATTTAGGAGCTGTGGTCCTGTGTCTGGGACACCTGGGAGCTTGCTGGCTGTGGGATGGCAGGATCCCTCCAACTGAGCTGCAGAGGTAGCACGAGGGGAAGGGAGGAGGGTACAAGCATGAGAAGCTCTGGGTCCAACCCAAAGACCAGGTGGGAGCCTCTCCCCTAACTGCAGCTGGGAGGGATGACCACATTCCAAGCTCCAGGATCCTTTGGGAGTGTGCCCAGTGATGCCAGCCCCTGGGAGAAGAAATGTGCAGCAGTGGGTCAGAGAGGGGCTGTGCACCCTCACAGGGTCAGGCCCCTCCAGACAAGGGTCACCCTGGGCAGAGCTTTTCCCAAGTTGTCTCCACCCTGGTTGAAGCTCCTAACCCAGCCCTCAAGGGAGGAGAAATGGGGAGCCACCACGAGGAGGGATTTCCAGCCTGCACAAGGTGGGACTCTCAAGGCAAGAGGTGCCATGTGCAGCTCTGCTCCCAGGGAAGGGACTGGAGCTCCGATGGAGCACCTGGGTGGTCCCTGGATGCTGGTTTGGGAGAAGCATGCAGCAGCCTGGTTTGCTGGGTACCAGGTCAGACATGCCCAGGAGCATCCTGTGCTGCTTCTTGTTTGGCCTCAATTCCTGCCTTGCAAAATAACTCACACAGGCATCTCCCTAAAGCAGTTCAGGACGGGTGAGGAAGCTTTAAATAATGCATGAAGGAAGCAGCTGTGCTCACCGGTCACTCTGTGGCCAGGGCTGCACTGAGGGCTGTGAGGACTCCAGGGTTTCACCCCTGGGTGCAGCTCCACCTTCTGCAGGAGCCCATTCCTGGAGGGAATCACTCACACAGGGCTTGCATTGCTTCAGGGCACCCCTGCTCTGCCTGGGCAGTGGGCACACAACATGCCCAGGAGCCCTGGTGGCAGCAGGGGAGGTCCATCACCGGACACGCTGCTGTGCTTCCCCTGGGCATTTCCCAGCCTGGATGCATATGTCATATTTTTGGACACTCATGGGTGCTCAGAAAGCCCCCTGAGCACAAGGGAGCAGGTTTCTCCTCTTCCCTCCTCTGGGAAGCCAAGATTCCTGGCTGCCCTTTTCCTTTCCCCTGGCCAGGTGTGGGATGAGCGGCTGGCCAGGGCAGCAGAGGCGTGGGCTGCGCGTTGCCTGTGGGACCACGGGCCCCCTGAGCTGATGAAATATGTGGGGCAGAACCTCTCCATCCAGTCAGGCAGGTGAGTGCCCTGGGGGCAGAGTGAGCTCCTGGGAACACCCCACACCCCACAGCACCGGAAGAGGAGTAGCAGCAGCCCCATGGTCAAGAAGCAGAGAGGCTCTGAGCTGGGCTTGCACAGGACTGGGATGCAGCTGAGAGGCACACCAAGTCCCTCTGGGGTGGAGAAGGGTCCAGCTCTTGCAGAATGGTAAATACAGGAAAGCAGAGATGCCCCCTGTTCATTTGAGAAGTGGGACATTACTCCTGTCTCTGCCGGGCACAGGGACCAGGGGGATGTGGGTCCTAAATCTCCACCACGTGGCTGAGAGCTCAGGTGGCTCCATGAAGGCCCAGGTCTTCTGGCCTTGGGCACAAGTGGGCTTGGCACAAGGCTGTCATTGCCCCCTTCTCCCCCAGGAATGCTTGGTCCTGACAGGCCCTGCCTCCAAACTGTTTCTCTCTCCTCAATGTGGAGCCTTCCCTTCCTCTCCTTCACCCGCGGCCTCTGATGTGGAGGAAGGACCTCACGTGGAGCATCTTTCGCAGGTACCGCTCGGTCACGGACATGGTGAAATCCTGGCACCAGGAGAAGCAGCACTACTCCTTCCCCCACCCGCGGGAGTGCAGCCCCCGCTGCCCCAGCAAGTGCAGCGGCTCCGTCTGCAGCCACTACACGCAGGTGAGCCCTGCAGCCCCCACAGCCCCTGGGACCCCAGAGGTGGGCCCTGTGCAGCTCACAGCCCCTCTCCCAGCAGTAGCTGGGATCCAGGATCAAATCCTGGCAGCTGCCAGCTTCAGATCCTGGCAGCGTGTCTGCTGGTGGCAATGCCTTCCTGTCCCAGACCCTTGCAGGATTCAGGCCGTTGCAGGGAGGTCCCAGGGGCTCACAACCCACTGAAGAGCAGTTGGGACCTTCTGGCCTGTTGACAAGGAGGCTTCCATTACTTTTTTTAAGGCTTTTTTTTCCCTGCTTTGGCCTTTTTTTCCTTACAACACCACTGGCAACTCAAAGGTGGTGAGTGAAGAGGGAAAAAAAGCCCCTTTGTACTTTTGCCAAGTGTGAACCCTCTCCTCTGTGATGGAGCAGAATTATAGCACCCAGCTGTGTTCACCTCTTCGGGAATGCACTTCCTTCATCCCCTGGCACATCCCCCAACAGCCTGGCCAGCACAAGATGAAAAACTCTCCTGCTCCTGTGCCTGATAGCAAAGCTGTACCAACCCCTAATTACCTCCTCTGCACAGCTCCAGCCTTTACCTGAGCATGTGCATCCCCGTGTGGCTCCTCCATGAGGGTGCTCAGGGATTCTCTGTGTTGCAAAAGGGCAATATACACTTTTTAAAGAAGAAATTCAGCCTGGGGAGGCTTTAGGAGGAGCTTCTGTCTCTGCTCGACCTCCCTGTGTGCAGGGTAAGCTGCTGACCATGATTCAGGGTGAGGTCTGGGAGCTAATTTGGGTAAATTGGAGTGTGAGCTGCTGCTCACTCGTGAGCTTGGCAAGGCAGCCCCTTGCAGGGCAGCGCAGGCTGCAGGCAGGAGAGGGAGAGCAAAAAGTCACCCTCTGGTGACAAAGCACTGCCCGTGATGGGACAGCACCCAGCCAAGGAGATTCAGGCAGGTGGGCTGCGATGCCCTGGTGGGACAGAGCCCTGTGCTGGGGTCTCGGGGTGATGGTCTGCGGGGATGCCTGGGTGGATGGACACCGACAGTGCCTGTTCTCTGTCCTGGAACAGATGGTGTGGGCAACCTCCAGCCGCCTGGGCTGTGCCCTGGGCACCTGTGCCAACGTGCAGGTGTGGGGCAGCACGTGGCGGCACGCCATCCTCCTCGTCTGCAACTACGCCATCAAGTAAGTGCCTGGAGGGAACCCCCTCCCCGTGCCACCCTCCCTCCTCTCACCGGTGACAAGGCGAGGTGCTGGTGCTCAGAGGTGATGCCCTCCTCTCTTTTTAGGGGCAACTGGCTGGGAGAAGCACCGTACAAGGTGGGGCGGCCGTGCTCAGCCTGCCCCCCCAGCTACGGCCGGGGCTGCTCCAACAACATGTGCTTCTCCGGAGTCAAATCCAACCAAGTCAGCTGGTTCTAGGGCTGCAGCCCCAGGAGGAACCCCGGGAATGGGGTCGACCAGAATTATTTATAACACTGACCCCCAGCAGCCCGGCTGTCCAACCTGCTTCATCCCCAGTGCCACGTAGGAAACTGCTTTTCTAACCCTCCTCTCCAGCAGTGCTCACATCACCTGGCTGCTTCCCACTTTGGGGGAACTAGGGACAGTTCAGGTTCCTATTTTCTGAAATAGGGAAGGTTTGGAGGTGCATGGAGAGAGTGGGGCTGGCTGGCGTGGTCCCTGCTCTGCAGACTCGGGGGGCTTTTCCCACTGCCCCCCTCGGTGCTAAGGCAGAGGCTGGTGTAAGCAAATACCAAGATGTTCCCTCATGGTGAGCAGCTGGAGAATTGGGGAACCCCAAGCGTGCCCCTGCTCCACAGCAGCCCTTCCAGCCATGGGTACCCAGCTCTGAGCCCCCAATAAAGCAGCCTGGAGACCCCCATGCTCGTGTCAGTCCTCCCTCACTCACAGGCAGAGCCTCAGGGTAACACTGAGCCAGTGTCTTTGCTCTGGTTTTGGGGGTAAACTGCAAAGTGGTGCAGAAGCCTTGGGTGGGGCCACAGGCTGTGGGCACAGGAGATGCCTGGGTGCTTTGCTCCATCGTGTGGGAGAAGCCAGCACTGCTGGGACACCAGGTGATGGTGATGCTGAAGGGCCACCAACTCCCTGTCCCACCCAGGCCATCCCACGTGATCCTGCTGCCCTACCTCGCCCCATTATCCACATTTCCTCCCTCTCTGGGTCCTCTCAGCAGTCAGAAAACTCAGAGGCCCCCAGATTTCCAGACCTTGGCTCTGAGCATCCAGCTGTGGATTCCTATGCCACAGCCCTCTGTGTCCTGGCAGCACTCTTCCCACTGCAACCTCCCTTGGGATGTGCTTTTCCATCCAGAGGAGCAGATGTCCCTAAGTTTGTCCCCTCAGGGCTGCAGGATTTCAATAATTGAGGTGCTGGGGGGTCCTGGGATTGGCGGGGATCCCTTTGTATCTCCTTCAGCCTGGCCCTGTCCTGAGATGTGCAGGGGATGTGGAAGGCTCCGCACTGCTGGATGATCGCTTTTTCTGCTCCAGCTCTGAATTCCCCATATATTTGGTGTCCTCTCAACCTTCTTGCATGTGGCCCTGCTTGCCTCAGGGCAGCCCCCAGGAGCCTGGACTGCTCCTGTCACGGAGCCACCGGTGGCACAGGGGCTGCCACAGCCTCACGGGGAGTTTGGGAACCCCACCATGAGGTCCGGGGTGCTGCGGTCCCCAAGGGAGCACAGACGTCTACGAGTGGCTGGGGCACCCTGAGAGTCCCCCCAGTACGGGGAGCAGAGGGAGACAGGGAGGAGCTGCACACTCCCTGTGCCTGGCCCAGCGCTCAGGGCACCACCCTGCATCCCACCACAGCATCCCTGCAGCTCCCCATCCCCAAACAACCCCCCCGGTTCAGCACCAGGCAGACAAGTCCCAATTCACGGCCGGGGCATTTTGCCCCTTGTGCCTCAGCCAGGCTCCACTCTGCCCGTGCCAGCCCCCACACTTGTCCCACAGCCCCTGGCCCCCCGTGCCATGTTTGCCCTTTGCCGCAGGTGGGCTCAGACATGGTTTTCCCACCGTGGGTGGGTGATGGCACAGAACTTGGCAGCGCCTGGGACGCTGCGGAGTTGGATCCAGCCGCCCCATCTCCGTGGCCAGGGGTGAACCCCAGCCCAGTGGCTGCCCCGGCCTTGACACTCTCTGGAAACGGGAGCCCCAAAAGAGTCCAGTAAAAGCCATGTTTGAGTTTCTAGCTTGGCAGCAGTTACTATAGCTACAGCAACGGCACCTTGCAGATTGGTTTCCATAAGAGCTTGGTTACTATTTAACATCTCCACCCACATTAGCCCTGATTAAGCGAATCAATAAGATAACAGGAGAGGCAGGTTTCCTCGCCCTGCCTCTCCGCTGCTCCCTCCTGCCTTCACCCAGTTCCTTAGTGAGAGACATTTTTATTTATTTATTTAGATTTCTTTTTTTTTGTTCCTCTACTTCCTCTGGTTTTTCCACCCCAAGTCCCCATAGCAGTAGCCGGCGAGACATGGTCAATGTAAGCACCCAGCTAAGCGCTAAGATGGAGGCTCCATATGGTGAGTACGGCGTTCCCATCGCCCGCGCTGCCGGCCCGGCGTCGCTCGCGGGGAGCGGGGCTGCCAGCGGGCACCAGCCCCCAGCCCCACGTCCCAGCCCCGCCACGCTGCCTGGCCCCCACCGGCTCAGGCGCCTGCAAAGGCTGGAGATGGAGGCAGGAAAAGGGTTCTGATTGATTTTTTTTTATGCAATATAAATACATCTATATACGCGGTTTCTCTCTCCCGCTCTACTTGGCCCAAGGAAGAAGGCACGTGCCCAGGCCGGCAGAGCTGTGGCACAAGTGGCAGCAGCTTAGAGGAGGTGATGTGCTGCCTCAGGACGTGCAGCCAGCCGCGCTGCTCGGGCTGCGGGTGGCCCGTGGCACAGCCGGGCTGTGTGAGCGGGCACAGCGGGCACCGCCAAGGGCAGGGGCTGGGCCGGCGTTACAGCTGGGCAGGTTTCCCAGCAGGGAGTGCAGTACCTGGATGAACAGCAGCCTCCAGCCTCTGCGGCGCAGAGCATCAGGTGGCACGCCGCTGCCCAGGCTCCTGGCCGCAGGGAATGCTCTCCAGGCCTGTGCCTGTGCTCCCTGCATGGCTCAGCGGGCACCAGCCTGGAGCAGCCCCGTGCCGCTTTGCTCCTCGGCTGTGCTGGGTGCCAACTGCCAACAAATGCACGTGGGCACCAGGGGACAGGTGCCCCTGCCTGGGCTGACATCAGCCCGCTGTTATCCTAAGGACAGGTCAACTGTGCCTGTGCTGCTGCACAGCAAAGGGCTGGGGCTGGTTTGGTCCCATGTGATCTGGGAACACCAGTTCCCTGGATGTGGCCAGGGTGTGGAGCGAGGACGCAGCGGTTGAGGTCTCACAGTTATGAGGCTCTCCATCACTCTCCATGGCTCTCCATAGCTCTCCATCACTCTCCATGGCTCTCCATGGCTCTCTATCACTCTCCATGGCTCTCCATCACTCTCCATGGCTCTCCATAGCTCTCCATCACTCTCCATGGCTCTCCATGGCTCTCTATCACTCTCCATGGCTCTCCATCACTCTCCATCACTCTCCATGGCTCTCCATCACTCTCCATGGCTCTCCATCACTTCCTGTGGCTCTCCATCACTCTCAATGGCTCTCTATCACTCCCTTATGGCCCTCCATGACTTCTCCTGGCTTTCCACCACCTTCCATGGGGCTCTCCATCATACCACCTTGCCTTTCCTCACTCTATTTTTCACGTCCTGCTTCTCTTTTCCTTTACGAACATGTGCAGCCTCCCCAGCCCACCTTCCAACCAGGTGCCAGGAGGGCTTGTGGGACTCCCAGGCCACCTCCTCACACTTTGCTCATGGCCTCGCTTTGGGTGGTGGTTTCTCTTGCTCCAGACCTGCAGCCTCCCATGGGTGCCACCTCCAGACCTAACCCACCCCAGTGGTGCCATCCACGCTGCCCTGTGCACCCTTGCCCCAGTCCCCCGCACTTCAGTACTCTGCAGATCACTTTATTTCAGATCACATCACCCCATGGTGAGCCATGGGCTCATCAGCATTTTGGTGGATCCATGGCCTGTGGCAATAGAACCATGTAGGAACTGCACAGGGTCTGTAGTAGTGTCACTGTGCTGGGCTGGACCAGGCAGCTGTGGTCAAGCAGTTATGAAATGCTGAGTTTTAGCCTGTTTTTATCAGGTTGCTCATTTGTACATCCCAGGCCCACAGGAGCCAGGTCTCTGGAGGACCTCCGTTAACCCCGGCCTCTGAGCTGCAGGATACAGAAGTGGGGACTGGGCCTCACACAAAGCTGGACTCAGAAAAATGCCCAGTTTTTGGTCTCTTCAGTGCAGGTTGTGGCTTTGTGTCCAACTGGTGCTTCTTGGACAACGTGCAAGGAGCCATGTAATGCAGGATGCTTGTGAACTGGTGGAACAAGGGCTTGATGCCTCTGAGATGTGCTGAGTGTTGGATCCTGGAGAGAGGGCTGGCCCAGGAGCAGTGAGTGCTGAGCATCCTTCGTGCTGAAGCCCCTGCTGCTGGTGGGAGATGGCTCCAGGCCCACCCAGCTCGCTGGGACTGACTTGAGCCTCCTTCGCAAGAGAAGGGGAGGCTCAAGGGATGTTCCCATCAGCCTGGGAGACACGGTAGTGCAGGATGGCTGGATCTGGCTGCCCCCACATCCAGGGTGCCTGTGTCCAGCTTTGCCCCAGGGTGCAAAGCCAGCCTCATTTCTGTAGCGAGCAGCCAGCTTTGCCTGACAGAAGCAATGCAAGGGGTTGGACAAGCTCTTTAATCACTTGAAGTTACTCTGCCCACTTGCATCTGACTCTAATGGGAGCAGCCTCTTGCCAGCCCTGGAACATCAGGGACCTAAAACACAGGCAAGCAAACATTTCTGATATTAATTTCCTCCTGATTTTTTTTTTATTTTTTTTTTTTAATTCTGGTTTTCTCCTCATTTTTCAGTCTGAGAAATCAGAGTGAGAGTCAGTGACTGAGCCACATGCTGAGTTTGGGCAAGTGCAGGCAGAGCCGGGCGCCGTTGGGTGGTTGGGGAGGAATCGCTGCCCATCCCACCCGCGGCCGCTCTCCCATCTGCTCCCGGGGCTGAACAAAGGCTCCGACCGGCACCCGCTGCCTGCGAGCCTGGGGCCGTGCGAGGGGGAGAGGAATAAAAAGTGTAACAAAGCGAGATGGGCCTCCCAGAGCAGAGCGAGAGGAAACTCAGAGTGTTGGCAGAAGGAGGGGAGCCCTCATAAATAAAACGGGTGAAAAAGTTATCCAAACAGAGGCGAGGAAGGGCTGGAGGGACGGGGGACCGAGCAGTGCTCCCCTGGCAGCCTGCAGCACTGCAGGGCTGGGATGGGGATGGGCAGCAGGGTGGGCACAGAAGCCAG